ATTGAAAGTATACTTCAGTCTCTTGTGTGCCTTTCCCCTATAAAGGTTCATAGATCAGAGGTATTTCTGACTTAAAATATAAGCCTTTACCATTCACTTTTAGTTATGATCCTTTCAGTAAATGTTCCCAATGGCCATGCTTGTTCTCCTGACCTGTTTTCCAAGAAGCAGAGCCAATTTTGTGGTTTTCTATGTTACTCTGAGAGACTATGTCAGATAAAGTATTATTGACTGATTAGGAAAATAGAATAGGCAAATGTTCTTTAACGGAAGAGCCATACATAACTGTGGTTAGAAAATCATTGATTTTTAGCTTGATTGCAGTGTGTTCTGCATGGAGTTGTTTTCTCATAGATTCTGTCTCATTTATGAGAGTGTAATTAGAGTATTGTGTCACCTATAAAGATGAATGGATGGACATTTCTTTATTTAAGATTTCCCTTCTCAAAGAGTGAGATGTTGACAGCATCTGTGTTCAGACATAAGAAAATATCTTCTTCCTAGTGATAATGCCTATAGATGCAATCTGTACATCTATCTATCTAACAGACAGAAAGAAATGGAATTCTGTTGAAGAGTACAGAAAGAGATATCACAAGGATGCATAGCATGCATGCATTTAAAAAAGCCTATTCTAACCCAAAATTCTCTTCTGAATAATTTAAACAGTATTGGTGCTGAACTTTATTAAAAAAAGTTTAGAGTGCATCCTCCAGCTGTTTCAAGCAACAAAAAAAATGCTAAAGAAAATTCTCATCTCTTATAATATTTATGCTAATTCAAATGAAATGTTATTCCAGGGAAATATCTGATTCCTAAGTTTTAGGAAGTAATGTTATTACTCACGTTTGCTACATAAAAAACCACTACCTTTTCTCGAAAGGACTGCAGTTTCTGGAATTAGCTGCACTTGCAGCTTCCTGTATGTGGACGACTGCTATCTCATATCATGCTCCTGAGTTTTGCTTTTTTAAACCATGCCTGACAAAGATCATTTTAGGCTGTAAAAGACCTTTAAGCTTATTGAGTCCAACATTGAACTCATCACTGCCAAGTCCACCACTAAACCAGTCTCCAAGAGAACACTTGAAATACCCCCAGGGATGATGACTCAACCATTTCCCTGGGCAGCCTCTTCTAATGCTTGAGCATCCTTTTTGCAAAGAAATTTTCCTTAGTATCCAATCTAAACATCCTCTGGCACAACTTGAAGTCATTTCCTCTTGTCCTACTGCTAATTACCTGGGAGAAAAGGCCAATCCCCATCTTGCTACAATCTCTTTGCAGGTAATTGGGAGAGAAAACGATAAGGCACCCCCAGAGGCTCCTTTTCTCAAGGTTAAATCAGCCCAACTCCCTCAGCTGCTCCTCACAGGGCTTGTGGTTCCGACCCTTCACCTGATGTATTGCCCATCTTTGGACTCATCCCAGTCCTCCAATGATTTTTAAGTGAGGGACCCAAAACTGAAGAGAGGATTTGAGGTGCAGCCTCACCTGTATTGAGTACAGGGAGATGATCCCTGCCATAGTCTGTCTGGCCACAGGAATTCTCATACAAACAAGGATACTGTTCATGCATGAGAATGTATTTAACATGAACAAGTTTCTACCTGCTCTGCAGTGCGAGAGACTGAATTCATTCCAGGAATTACAAAGTAGAAAGGAGAAATCACCAATCAGTGGAACCATGAACCACTATTATACTTGAAATTGGCCATTCCCAAAGTGCAGGCTTTTTCTTACTGTAACTGAATCACTTGTCTGCTCACATCCCTCCACTACTTGCTTTATTTTTTGCTCTATTGAGCTAACCCTTTTAATGATCTTGGGAAATCTGTTTGAGATAACATTTAGTATTTCATCTATGTGCATTGCCAAAACACTTTCTGAAAAGCTCTGGGGCTTTAGGTTACTATCTGCTTCTGATGCTCTGGTGCCCAGGGCTTGCAGGCACTCATTGGCCGCACTGAATATAGAGCTGCCTTGGAAATGGTGGTGTGAGGAGACACTGCAGAGACAAAACAACACCTCTGAGGGCTGGCGATCAGAAGGGACTTGGAGACATGAAAGAAATTTAGAAACTATCAAAAAGCCTGCTACTCTGAGTGGAGAGGAAATACGGACAATGCTGAGGTGAGAAGACACCCTTCTCAGAGAACGGATGGAAAGTTTTGTGTTTTTTTCCTGCTTCAGTGGAAAATTATCTGTCTACATTTAAGAGTATTATCACCGATTTTCCATTGTAATCAACAACAGAGGAATTTTAGTTAGCTAACTCCTTTTTCTACATTATTCAGCACCTTTACGTACCATATCAGTTATCAGTTCATTTTTAAATTTCTATCTTATAGTCCAGTCTCATGTTGCTTGAGGAAATTTGATTTTAACACCCAGAAGCTCTGCATCTGCCCGTTTTACTCAGCTATAATAACATTATCTGCAGTTTCCCTTTTTTTTTTTTACATGCAGAAATCTCTGCAGGCAAAAGATAGTAATGCAAAACCTGTAGTCTGGGATTCAAGGCTTACTGGTCCCTGCCAATGAATTTCCTTGTCGTTCCCATTATCCTCAAAGGAAGATGGTTAAACTCTGGTCAGAGAGTTTATTGTTGTCATGTAATGGGTCAGGAACAGCTCTGAAGAGGTGGCACTGTACCTTGCTTTCCCTTGTTCACAACTTCAGCCTCACTGGTGAAATGAGGTACCTTTCTCATGCCCACCGAGAAATGTAATTTTGGAAAGGCAAGAGATTTTGCCAGAAGTTGTCACAGAGCATAAGGCAATGCCACGCTCAGTGATTAAGACAGAGAACAAAATTAAGTGTTGGTCGAACCACAGAACTTTACACGTGGAAGAAATGTTGATATCTCTAAATAGCTCTTTTATTCTGTCAAATTGTAGGCGTTCAGTGATACTAAAATTTTAATCCTAGATTAGCATGAGCAATTTTGATAGAGTCTTCATAGATTTTTAAGTCTAGTAAGGAAAGAAATATTATTTCTTTATTTCTATGTTGTGGGGAATTTTTAAAATCTCTATTGTAAAATGGACACATTACACCAGAAAGGTGTAATTACTCTGATATAACACCCCTACATGTGGGCATCTGCTGTTTCAGAAGTGCCTGAAATCAAAATTTAAAAATACTCTAAAAAGCTTTTAGATGTGGTAAACTAAAAATTACTTCAATAATGCCAAGTAATTAATGAAAAATTATGAAAAATAAGTTAAAAAGCAACTTAATAAGAAATTCCTCAAGGCATCCCAGGAATGAACGTTTCCCAGAATTCTTGGAATATTAGATGAAATCAATACTATATTGTGGAAAATAGTTTTTAGAACTCCAAGTAAATAAAAAAAATTATTAAACCACAGTATATTTTAATAGAAGGTTTGACAATTCTTGTTTAATTACTATATGCTCAACAGCAGTTAATTTTGAAAAATGCTCGGCTATCTTGTGTCTGTTCCTCTTTTACCTCTGTAAATCACATTAGCTACAAATTCTGCCACTTAATAAATTGTTTCCAAATTCTGGTACATCTGCTAGATGTAGATGTTTGGGAGTAGAGAGCAGTAGTGAGACTGGTCTCTAGGAGACTTAATTATGTTTTCCATTCACATGATGGAAGTTCTCAGCCATCAGAGGCCGCCTGCTATCATTTTTATTTCCAGTCATGTGAACCCTTGCACAGGGCAGCAGAGGGAAACTTAGCTGTCATACTTGTGAGATGCAAAGTCATGAAAACTCTGCTATTGCATTGTACTTGCAAAGCCAGAACTGAGCTCCCAAAGCATGCACTCGTTGACTGTGCTTTGGTTGGTAATAACAGCCAGGAGTTTTTGGTTTTATTTCTGAAAAACCAACAGAGTTGTGACTTCAAAACACTGGAAAATATTATTTTTATTTTCAACACAATTATTTCTGATTCTTGAAGTTTCTGTTCGTTTTTCTGCCATCTTCTTTTTTTATTCTCTGACTTTTAATCACTAGACTAATTGAATACCTATGTCAAAATAACAACAGAATCCAAAAATGAGGCAAGGTATGTGTGAATCTCACTAGGAACATTCTGCTTGGAGAGCTACAGTCACGTTGTGTGAGGCATTTTCATCACACAACCTATTTTTGTGGGTATGTGTAGACCATTAGGCAGTCAGCGGGATTTGAGTAAGTCCATTCTAGTATGAGATCATCAGGTACAAAACAGAAATTGAAAGTGTTAGCTAAGGTTTTGGGTGAGAATTACTCCTTCAGTAACTGCTTAACATCTTAATTTTTTCTTTTGATTTCGTGAATCAAATCTTCCAGAAGCATCTGGTAATTCCCTGGGGTCTTGGTGCTTAGTCCAGATCAGCGGAGGAAGAATCTATGGGGTTAAAGCACATTTGATTAGGATATTAGCCACCATTCAACTTGGACACTGTGGTTGCCCATTGATGTTAAAATTATTTTCTGTTTGCAAATTTGATATTACCAACATGTTCTTTTCTAAGCTTCCAAATAGAAAGGTTGTTTTAGATACAACATGTACAAGAATTTTTCTAATTAGGAGGGGTTTAGCTACTATTTTAGCATGGTACATCATTATCTGAGCTATCAATATACTGTCTCTGATATACTCATTTATCTGAATAATACTTAAAGGTTTTCTTAATACCCCTAGGTATGTTTGAATTAAAGATTTCTAGGAAAAAAGACACAGAGAAGTCTTTCATCAGAATACAATTTGAGACTCATTAATTTCCCAGAACTTCCTTTTAGTTATCAAAATTATAGGTTGCATGGAGCAGATCTCCTGTTCTGAAATGTACAATGTACACTGTATTATAAATCCATTGTTAAAAAGTTGTAAAAGTTTTGTGAACCCCAGATCTGGAATTCACTTCATAGCAGTGTTTGAAATATTTCATTTTGGAAGTTTTTTAAACTCAAACAACCAAACTCTGTACCAGAGCACTGGGGCATCCTTGTCTAATAGCTTATTACAAACCTCCTAGGGACTCACTGCCATGAAAGGCACTATATAAGCTTAGAGGGATTTTTTTCCTTGCCCCATGTGTAGTTTAGATGTCATTTGCAGTTAATGTGTACTGGTAGTTTACTTCAAACGAATGCTGATCGAGGCCTGAGGAAAAAAATCGAGCTATGTGCTAAAAAGAAGAAAAAAAATAAAATACAATTTTGCTGTTCTACTGAGATACATCTGTGCTGGCTGCCAAATGCTTGTTCCTAGTTTGAATTCAAAACTGATTGTTATAGCCTGTAGAGATAAGAACAAAGACCATATTTGTTTAAATATTTGATGGTTTTTAATGAAATAATATTTTAAGTATTACTGTACTTTAGTCTTTCACAAGAGTCAATAAAAGAAAAACCTGTTCATTCACCTGAGGAGAGCTTTTACAAGCATGTTTACTTTTTAAGAATATAGACCAGAATACAATTGTCTTCTAATACCTCCAGAGAACAACTGTAAAAAGGGTGCTTTACAGTGTCCCACAGATGATCAATTATTTCATCAGCTTAGCCTTTTGAAGTCTGTTGCAGGCTTTTTCAAGAAAAGGAAATTGATAGGGATGTCAGAGGTACCCAAATCTTTGAACTGCACAGTATTTGCGTGGTTTACTGGAGCCCTTTAAGAAGACCTAAATATTAAATGCGTCTTCACATGTGTCTTCCACACTCACATAGCTTAAAAGTTAAACCCTAGACCTGTGCAAAGTAACAATGAATGAGACCAATTTCTCACTGTCTCAAACTGCACCAGTATAGTTTTCCATTGAGTTGATAAGCTATGTGTCAATTGTGCCTTATAGCAGGTAACCGTATTTAGGGACTTCAGAAGTCCTGATCAGCTGTCCTTCCTTCTGCAGCAAGATCTACCAGTTGTTTGTTTCTTTGCAACTTGGTGATTTATTTCATTGAAGTGTGTAGATGCAATTGCTGTATACACCTTCAAAGGTACTTCCAGGGTTCAAGGTCCTACACAGCCTCCTCTGGACAATTTTCTGTTAACCACTCCAGCCTAGCTGGATAAATACAGCTTTAGAAGTCAAAAGTGAGACCTTGGCTTGAAAAGAATATCCTGACACTATTTACATTTTCCTATTGGAATCAAGTGTTGGTAATTTTTCTGCACTTTAAAAACAAACAAACAAAAATACACAACCCCCACAAATTATAAGATTTTCTTACTGGACAGATTTTCCAGCTATTTACTGTATGTTATATATTTCAGATCATGGGAAAACACATCGATTCTTTCAAAATAAATTATGAGTTTAAAATATACGAAAGTATGTTGCCTTAATAAATGGCAACTTATATGAAAAAAGGAAATAAATAACTTGAAGGTTTTATTTAGATCCAGTCTGTTATTGTAAATGATGCTGTCAATTTATTTATTTTTTTATAACCTCCAGCAATGGAAGATTATTGTGATAAATTATTCATATCATTGCAATATATACCTTTCAAAATTTCCATATCTGGCAACTAATACGCACTTCTTGAAGACTTCAATAGGCTCCTCAGCCAGATAATGTGGCTGGAAGCTGCTTCATGATTAATTTCATCCAAATGTGGTAATTATCATACTTTGAAGTAATGCCTGCAGAACATGTTTTCACAGAGAGTTAGTGGAAGCAGAGGATTAACCCAGAAATATTCAGTTCAGAGCAACATATCACCCAAGTAGAAATATATTTTCTTCCAAATTTTTCAAGATTATTAGACTACTTGGCAGTCATTTGCATTACCTTATCTCGTATCAACTTCTCCACAGCAATTTAGAAAGCAACAGAAAAAGAAGCAACTTTGTATTATTAGCAGTAATGGGATAGTCTTGGATTTGCAAGCAATTTAATTTGACAGTTTCTGCCCTGAAGTATTTCTCATATTAGTGTTTAAGAGCACAATTCATTTATCATTCATATATGTTGTGGACAGAAGAATTATCCTGCCTATATTCCAGAAACACTATAGGTAATTAGAGATGGCATTTGTTTCCTTGTAACCATCCAGAGGAGCATCTTCTACCACTGCTCTATGCATGCCTTTGCTCCTGTCTCACAAGATACCCATGAGTAATTGCTTGGTTGTACAGGTGAGACTAGTGAAAAAGGTATGTGAAGCACTAAGAATGTTTCTAAAGATGGGTGATTTTGTACCCTGTTAAAAGCCCTGAGGTAGAAGAGCACCAAAAATTATAATGGAGAGTGAAGATATCTCTGCATGCTTATATCACCCCAGTAGAGATTCCAAATCTCTCGGCAATCAGAAAAAAAAGTCCTGAAAATGTTTACACAAAAATCCTACCTTAGGTGAGACTGAACAGCCTATTTAAGTATTTCTGGTAGATTGCTTGGCCATGCTGCATTTTGATTCAGCTAAGTAATTTCAATTTTGTTCAAGTCAACCAGGGAAGAATTTTGCCTGCTCTTACATGGACCATATTTAGGGCTGACTTACTCTAAGTTCAAAAGGTGTTAAGTGTAACATCTTCTAAAGTAGGCCTCAGTTGTGTGATCCACAACTGCAGTGGAGTGCCTTTCATTACATCTCTGTTCTCAGGCTGCTAGCACACCTCCCTTGTGTTCCTGCAGCCTGACCACGTGCTCATGGTGAGTAACCATAGCTCAGCCGCTGCATGTAAGCCATGGCAACTCAGCCACATGTCAAACCCCACAGATTACCACACCAAAATTAAACAAAAGTGTTTAGGGTCACACAGACTTTCCTGTATTTACTCTTAGGATTAAATTAGTGCCACTGTTCCGTGGAACAAACAGAAGTGGAATGAATCACTGTATCATTGCAATGTACTTTATAGCAAATAAGCTGTTTCACCTCCAAAGCACATGCTGCACTTTTCTGTCTACCTTTTCTCTACTGTGTGTTTATGCTTATGTGTTTGCATTTTTTTCTCTTACAGATAAAAAAGAAGCTGCTGTATCCAAAGAACTCAAAAGTAAGAAACTACTATGTCTTTTATATGCCATGCTGTTTCAAAAGTTCGTTTCATTATTCCAAAAATAATATTTATTGAGTTGTTGAAAATACAAAGAAGAAAGTAGCTACACCATTTATAATTGAAAAATGAGGTGTTTACACTTCAGCTGCCTCCTACTTTCTTAATCCGTTCTTATCCTGCTTCTAACTGCACACTCCCCTTTGTGACTGACAGTTTTGCCTTCCCCTCTTTCCTATCACTGTCTTCAAAAACAAAGGTTTCGTAGGGGAGGAAATGTCAAATTGAGGTCTCAGCTGAATGTGATCTCAGTGGCAGCAACTTTCATAAGTAGGCTGGTAAGGCCCAGAGTTGAACATGCCGAGGAAGACCAAGTTTATCTTCACAAACGCAAAACAAGGGTCCTGCCTGTCTAGGTAGTTCTGGTTCCAACTAAGAAGCTTCTACATCTGAAGAGAGATGGGAATTATGCTCTTCTGAGAAAATAGCCAAAAAATGCTCTGAGAACTTTGCATCATTTAAAAGGGAAGAGCTACATCTTCCTTTTCTGGAAATTTCAAGTGCCAATGCCTCAACACAGTAAGGACAGTAAGACAGTATCTTTGGTAAGACTTCATCTGCTCAGTATTCTGTTCTGAAAGTTCAGCATATAAAACAATTAGGAAAAATATGGGGCTTCAAAATCTGATTCAAATTCACAATTAAAGAGTGCACTGACTCTCATTTCCATGTATGAGCTTTCATGACTTCTGTGGCAGAACAATCTCCTGCCATCCTCAGTTTTGCAGCAATTTATTAAAAGATTTCTTTTGGAAATGAAAAAAAAAAAGCTTATACTTTGCATTCTTATGCAAATTTTGCAGAAATATTTAACAAAACATTTCATACACTTACTCTACAAGTAATGTCCTGTTAGTGAAATAAGAACCTGTTTTCAAGCAGTCTTCAATTACCTATTAATTTGGAGACATAATTCCTCAGAGCAGCCTTTGAGTGCCTAAATGGAACCTGCTGGAGAGGGACTTCTCACAAGGGTATGCAATGACAGGACAAGAGGTAATGGCTTTAAACTGAAAGTAGGTTTAAATTGGATATTAGGGAGAAATTCTTCACTGGGACAGTGGTGAGGTTCCACAGAGATGGATGGATGTCCCCTCCCTGGAAGTGCTCAAGGCCAGGCTGGATGGAGTTTAAGCAACCTGGTCTCATGGAAGGTGTCCCTGCCTGGCAGGGGGTTTGAAATGAGATAATATTTAAACTCCATTCCAACCCAAACCATTCTGTGATTCCTTTCATGGGAGAATTCCACAGCAGCTCTCATAGCAAAATTTCACATCTCTGCCACATAGGCAAAATTTCCAGCTGAAAGTAGCTCATGTAAAGATGCAGAATCATTTGCACTTAAATAATTTGTAAATAGCAAACTGGAAATAGTATGCTTGCAAAAGCCAGTTTAAACTTTGGGCAGTTTTTTTTCAATGCTACATAAAATTAAATAAATTACAGAAATTTTTAGTCAAATATATGCTTAATTTTATTTTTTCTCGAAGTTATTTTAATTTCTCAGATATTAAATATTTAAAATCAAAATATTTGTATAACACAAAGAATCCTTAGGTTTTTTTTCACAGATGTTATAAAAAAAGGTTTAAAAAATTCAACGTCAAGCATACTCTAGCTGAGAACTCAGAGGAGGATAAAGGAAAGAGTCTTGCTATTTTGTGTTAGGTCCATTTGACACTTGTAGAACATGTGTGTTGGACCTCTTCTGCAAAAACAGGCACTCAGAAAGGGGATACCAAGTAAATTCTTCTTCAAGGTCTTCTACAAATTTGCCTGAAGGAGAGGTGAGCACCCCAAATAATTACAATGCAGTGATAATAACTAAGTTAGGATATAATTATCAGCTGTGGGCTTTTAAGTGGATGGAAATACAGCAATCCACATTGCACATGCAAACTATATTTTGTTTTCATTCCGTTTCACAAGACAATCTGATGCATCTTTTATGAACTTCTCAAAAGACTGGAGGGGAAGGACTCAAAATTGCATTCCTGATTTAGCCATGTTCTTTTTCATTGTAATAATACAGTGACAGATGTGCAGGATTAACTAACATTTTTTGGCATTCTGTAATTCAGCTTGTGATTAACATTATTAGTTATTTCCTCTCGAGATATGAAAATGTGAATTTTAATTTAAAGGCCCTTCTAGTTTATACAAAAACTATCTTTTATGACCATTGGTGAAGTTTAGCTTATGGAAATTTGTTAAACTATTGTGGTTTAAGTACAGTTTGTTTTGGTAGCTCCTGAGGATAAAATCAATTAACAGAATACTAATAAAGAGTGAATAAATCTAGTGGCTTACTTAGGTAGTAGGTCACTTATGTTCTTCTGTATGGGGCGAAGATTCCCCAAATCCACATGGGGGTGCACACACCATTCATCATCAGGACCTTCATTCTGCAAGGACACACTCTACAAACAAAGACAGTATCATGCAAATGCTTCATGAAAAGATCAAGAGCAGTTAAATGGCCAGACAGGGCACATTTCTCTGCTAGGAGAATACAGCAATTGCTCTTTCAATTGCAGGATCAAACATGAAGGCATTCTCCTAATGCTTCTCCATTTTTCAGGATGGAGGGATATTCCAGGTATAGCCAACTCAGTGGACGCGCTTTGCTGAAGCAGCCCAATTTCATCTCTTCTAACCAGGGCCAGTTTCAGACTAGGGGGAAGGATGCCACTGTGAATAGCTGTGGGATCCCCTGAGGTACCACTACTGGATGCACAAGAGTGAATCCTCAACAGCTGCCAGAGGCTGGCTCAGGACCTTCTGCTCTCCTCGCTGCAGGATCAGATGCAGAGGCTCCCAGCACACAGCTGCTGCCTGAGGGGCAAGGCCATTTTGGAACCCCTGCATGCCTTTTTCCTCTGCTTGGCCAACTAGAGAGCAGAAAAAGCTGAAAGAAGGGATTCAATGCCTAACAACCAGAGTTTACTAGCCCTTCAGCGGGTTATTCTTTCATTGCCTTTGAGTTTATTGAAAACAACTCAGCACTTCTCCCTTTGGTAATCTCTTTGTTTAACTCTTCAGTTAAAAAATATGTTGCTGGAAGCCTTTCCTCAGATTTCTGTAGAGTTTTTAAAATACAATACTTTGTAATAAATGGTTTAATTTTTTTTACTTTTTTTTAAGAGCCAGCAAAAGCTCCTGCAGCCAACACAGCCATCAAAAAAGCAGCAGCACCAGGTAAAGAAGAAAAATGTTTGCATGCAATTTCTTGTACTCGTGAACCGGTTTATTGCATCATAGCACCATCTGCTGGATTGCACATAAGCCAGTGGTTCTTGTCAGTTTTTGGGATTATTTTTTTTGCCTGTTTTGCTCTAAATCATTGTGAAAATTTGCTAAGAAAAAAACAAATATGTGTATGTGAAATATTTGCTAAGAAAAAAAGTATTTAGCACTGATTTCTAACATTATGTTTGCTTCTTGTCCTCCCATGGCAGCTGTGAGGTGCTATATTGAGTCATTCTATAGGGCTTGAGATAAAAAAAATTAATCTGAATGTAAAGTCTGATTTTAAAAGCCATATTTATAGGAACTATTTTCCGTGAAGCTGTATTCAAGGCCTTTGAGAAGAGGACCTGGTATTTAAAAGTGCTGATGTCACAGTAGGTTGTCAAAATGGAGCTCCTGGATAAACATAAATATGCACTGAAAAGATGAGCAAACTTTTTAAAACAAATAATGGCATAAATTCCTATCTGAATTTAGATTGGATTGTAAGAATCTAATATTTTTTATTTATTTATTATCCCATCTGCTTCACACTCATCTTTAAAAATGACATATCTCATTTCTTCTTAATTAAATAAAACCCAATATAATGAATAACAACCTGAATAGTCATTATATTTGTAGTTTGACTACATTTTATATTAACTATCAAAAAACCCCTCAGGAACTCCAATATGAAAGTGTGGAGAGTATAAAGCCATAATATTATTCTAGTCTAAAGCAGGATAGCTGGTGCTGCACCAGACTGTGCCATTGAGCTCTGCCTGGTGCTGGCATCCCAGCAGTGGCCAGCCCACACTTCCTCTGCTGCTTCTTGCCTCCAGCTGATCCCCCTGTATCGATCTGAGATAGCTGCTTTTTTTCCTTTAAGATTGCTTTCTGGCTTTCTCTAATTCAGGCTGTTTCAGTAGTCTATCTCAGAGCTCTCCTCCACCAAAAAAGGGAATAATGTCTTGCATCAGCAGGGGTGACTGGGAATTGGTGAAGGATCAGTGCAAGCCAGGAAGACCTGCAGTTGTCTCTACCACAAAAGGACTCATAGCCTGGAATCCCAGAGGATGTGGGCTATTGCAGCACATATTGTGTGGCTGTGCCATGCCCTGTGTGACACTGGCCTGGGAAGCACCATTTCCCCCCCAGTGCTCCCCATCCCTGCCTGCTGCGTTTGACACCACGTTCACCTCTGCTAACACAACACGGGGAGCAGTGCAAACCACCCCAGTGCCATGGCTTACAGCTGGAAGCTGTGCTAGGAATGTGTGTGTGGCAGAGTGTTCAGCCTGTCAGTGAGGCTGGCTCCACAAACATTTACATTCATGTCACTGATGATTTCTTAAAGCAGCTTTGTTGCCACAGTGTGTTGTATAGCCAGACCCTTAGAAGTCTCAACAGTACTCTGTAGAAATCGTGATGTTAGAACCATATGCTTATAATTAATTCATTCCACCTGCTTGCATCCAATATTTGTGTTCATGTTTGAAAAATATTCCAATGAGTCTGCTTGTTGGCAAGAATGGTGATGACAGTAATCTGCTTAAGAAAAAGAAAAGGGGAAAACTGGCATGGCTTCTTATGGAAAAATAAAATAAATTTGTCTGTTCTGACACATTTCTAAATATCTAGTTGGCCTTAAAATTTATAAAGGGCAGTAGGTTTTGAGGTCTACATTTTAGCTTCCCCTCCAGTTCTCTGAAAATTAATTTACCACCAGAATAACTCACCATGGTAAAAAATGAAATATGCTTGTTTGGCAACATCGTAAGTAGACTGCTTCCTATTAGCACAGTAAATTAAATACATTATCCAATTTCATATTTCATTTTCTTCCACATATCTTATTACATCACAACCTGTACCCAAGAATGCCTAAAGCTCAAGGTTTATTCCTCTTAACAGATTGAACAGACTGAGAGCACAGCTGGTCATCTCACAGTGCATCTACATCACATATGTTCCTGATCCTAATGTCACTGGTTGAGAAATCCCTGCCTAATTCAACATACATTATTTTAATATCCCTACATGTATACAGAGAAAGCAAAGAAAGTGAATATGGTGTTTGGAAGTCTATGAGAACTTCTGGATCTGTGAGATGACAGCTGCTCTAGGAATCCAGCCTCAATACATTTCCATCACTTAATTTTGAAAGTGGGTATTTTCAAGCATTTACAGATTTCTCTAACTGGAAAAAAATCACCAGTCTGAAAGTCATCAGAAACTGGGTTTCAGATCCCAGTATTTGGCTGCAAAGCAGAACAGTTTCTTAGATGTAAGCAAGTGATGCTGATCTAAGGGGAGAAATCAGTGTTGAAGATGTGTTGTTACACATCTTCCTCAGTAACCCTGTTTTAAGTTGTTCCCATTCTAAATCCCGCAGGCATTCCCTGGTTTTTTTCTGCACAGTGCATTGTCCCCCCAGCTGTGCCAGCAGAACAGGTCTGAGAGTGACCCACCCTTACAAAACCTCAGTCTGTCCCTTTGCCCTGAGGAGTGGCACAGGATTCTTACACAGGATTTCCTCAGGCACCCCTTGTGTGCTGGGCCCAGCAGGCTCTCTCTGAAGGGTTTCTTAGAGCTGGGGGTGTAGGTGGTGAGCAGCTGGAAGGAAAATCTCCCTCTTATTCCTATCCCTCTGGAGGGTCACACCTCAATCCTTACCATGCCCCACAGCTGCAGCTAATTCTGCTGGGTGGGGCAGAGGCATCACACCTCGGTTTAGTAAATTTGCTGGGTCTGTTTTGTCACTGTGGGAAAAGCCAGCACATGGAGGCACAGGACAGGGCAGAGAGCAGAGACTCAAACCATGCAGGGAGCACTTCCAGCTAAATTTCCTAATTCAGGCTAACTATACCCTGGCAGGCAGTGAGGAGCCTCAGCGCCACTGGTTAGGGGCACTCCCATAGCTAGGGAGAGGGATGGGAACAGCTCATCTCTGAGTCCCTCTCAGGAGATGGCCTCCTTCATAGGCAAGACTCCTGCACCTTCTCTAAGCACCAGTGACAGTGCTTTCCCCTGATAATTTGCCTGATTTGAAAGCCAGTTCTAACTCTTTTCAACACTACAAAAATTAAATCCTAATTGCTGTTTAGAATTTCCCTGGAATGGTCTTGAAATTTTTAATTAATTTTACAGTATGTTTAACAGATTTTGTACTGTCTCTTAACTGCCTAATTACTGGGTCTTAATGCCTAATTTTCCCCATCTTCCTCTCCACACGCATGCAAAAAAAATCTTATTCATCACTTGCTGTGGGTTCATAACAGAAACTCTTTTTAAGCACAATTTCCCTCTTGAAAATCAATAAAATTTCGTCTGGATGCAGAAAGAATAAAATAAATATGACATACAATAGCTAATTTTAAGTGCTCAGATGTCAGCTGCATCCAATCTCCCAAACTGACAGCCAGTTGTACCAGAGCTACTACTACTTCATTATGCCAATCTTTTCACTGTAAGGAGCAGAAAGAGGACATTTTGTATGAAATAATGTAGGAAATGGGTCCATGGGGTAAGTACAGAATATTAAAATGCAGGCTATACTGAAAATCTTGGTTAGAGGATGGTTTGTATTGGTTCAGATCACTCTGTCTAAAGCAGGAAGAACTAATGGTTTTATTGGTAATGGGCACTATTTACTTAGCAGAGAAGTTATTTTAACTCTTGCCTCAAGATAAATTATTATAATCAAAATGGCAGCAGGAAAACTATTGCCATAAAGTATAACCAGTTTTATTCCACGAGAAAAGGTAGAAAACCCAGAAGTTTATGGCACAGTAGGTATGTCTGAAACGTAGAAAAGTTTTATCAAGGAGCTGGATTATTGCTTATCTTTTAATTATCACCTGTAGAACACAAGTATATAGAAAGCTAAACCCATATGTTACAGAAGATTAATAAACATCAGCAATTCTATGGCATAATTTAGCAACAGAGTGGAACAGGCAAACTTCTCATGATTGTTTGTCAAGTTTCTCAGATTCAAGTCACATGCAAGGGATGTATTTTACTCACAGCACCACACCCTCTGCATCATCCATCAAACTATGTATTCCCATCTTGTATAGATATGTGTAGTCAGCCCAAGATGAGAGACTTTGAAAATCAGGGTCAAGTTTATGTTATACACCCCTGCAAGTACTTTTGGAGAAAGGAAAAGGCACCTGTCTCTCTCTCTGTAGGGACATAGTCAAGTTTTCCATCCTGCATTTTCTTCAGGATATTATATTTGAGGGCCTCTGTGTGCCCTGAAATTTCTCTTCATAGGCAGCCACTGCACCTGGGTGAAAACATCTCTGCATGTATTTCTGTCGTACTGATGTTACCAAGAAAAATATTCTGGTAGCTGGAGTAGACAGTTCAATTTTCTGTTTCCTGAAGTTAACCCTCTCAGATTTTTTTCAGAACATAAGTGCTGCCATTCTCAGGGTTTATATTCTGGGTTTACAGTCGATCTTTTTGGTTACAAATGTTAGAGGTAACTTATTGAATGCAGAAGGACAAGCTTTGCAGTTTATTTCTGTACAAAAGAAATCTTCACTCAGATAGTGTTTCTGCAGCAGCAAACAAAATAATGAAGCCCTACCTGTACTAATACTGCTGCTCAGGGTCTTTGGATTTAGATCCAGGATCATTCTGCAGTCCTTCTGAATCACCAAATCTTTCTTTTCAGTCCATTTTAGCATAATTCTTCCTCTGTCCCACCTTAGCTTTTTGGGAAGTAAAATATCATATCTTCTCTGACTTAGTAATTTTCTTTCTGGCTTCAATGGGATGGTTCCACACTTGCCTGTTTTTGCACAGTAGATGGAGATTATCTGCAATATGCCAAAGGACAGGAGAAACTGAGTCTTGGTCCTCAACTGTTTGTCCCAGGGTGCTTCCACTAGGCTTTATTGAAGAGCTGGTCTGCCAGGAATTTATTGAAGCCTTTGCTCCTGGTCTGCCAGGAA